AACCTCAACCATTCTGTGAACCTGTGAAGTAAGGAGGAAGGCCTGTCGCAGATTTTAAGGAGGAAGATTCAGCAGTAACTGCTTGCTGAAACAGCTTAAGGCTGCAGCATCTCAGAAGCAGAAGTGCTAAATCAGAAGGAGCTCAGGTATATCATGCAATGATCCAGCCCCACTATTTCAGACTTCCAGATATTTAAATTAAGTATAAAGAGAAATATAAACTCTAATTGCAATCTGAGTGAAAAATGTGTTTTCTACAGGCATCATTAAGAGGTTTAGAATTTTTTTGTGGAGCCTATATGCATGCATGCTTTGAAATCAATGCTGAGGGATATTATTAGTGATTATTATTTTTAAGGCAAACCTGTAGATTTTTCCATTCTAAAACAGACTGCTTGAAAGCAGCCAGCCTTTACTTAGCCTCTGTGAAGGGCCTTTGAAGTATCCCTGAAAACTCAGGCACTTCCTGCCCTTCATTTTCATGAAGCATTTAGACATTCCCTCATCCTACTGTATACAAGCATTACATCATTTGATTAAAAATCAGAGCTCATCTTGTACCAAACTTCTTAAAAACTGAATCAGACTTACATTTCTTAAGGCCAAGATCAATTTTATTTTTTACTTTTGGTTATCCGATATTTGTAGGGGATACAGGGTAGGGAAAACCTCATCTCTGCACTTCACAGAAGGTGCATTAAGATTTATGTCCTGTTCTCTTTCCAGTGGACTCATGGCTCACCCTACTGGCTTTGACAGCAGCCTGCAAAGATCCTTCTGTACTTCATCTCACTAAGGTGACGCAGGAGAGCTCTGCATAGTTCCCAAAATGAACGACCGCATTAATCAAAGCACATGTATTCTCCACACTACCGCTTCAGTAATATAAACCTTATTTGATGGCTTTAAAACCTACTACTAGCTAAAAACCTTGTCATCTTTCCCTTACCATAGTTACCTGCAGTGATGTTACACTAAAGGCTGCCCCAAAGCCCTTTCAGAGAATTGCTCTTTCCTACTGTTGAAATTACTAGTATACAAAATTCGGTGGTATCAGTTGCAAGAGAAATGTGACTTAATGTATTTTAAATAAGTTTTTAAAGGTTTGATTGTAGGAAACTTTGTGTATGAGCTTCCAAGGGGCAAGATATCTAGAAAGTGTTAGAAAAGTACCAGGTGGCATTAGCCTGCAGTCACTGAACAACCACTGCTTCTTACACAACAGGAAAAATTGAGATTCCTACCCAAGTAATTACTAACAACAAATGTGTCATTACATGAGATTTCTGAGATATAGATTGAAGCGTAAATAATAATATGAATGGTAGGAAACAGTTATTCTTGAATGTGACTGCAGTTCTTCACAAAGTAATCACTGAGCCAGCAAGGGGTAGCACTGCTTTTAACTTTGGTTTGGTAAGGAAAAAAACTCTTATCAAAGACAGTCATAACTTTTGATATAGCAATCGTGAACTGAGTCTTCAGATGAAAAGGAAATGTAGACTCATGTATGATTGGGCCTTCTGATTTCCAAGCAACAAACTTCATAACAATAATAATAAAAAAAAAAACAGTAATAAGCCCAAAAACAGGTATGTTCATGTAGCATTCCCCAGTTTCATTAAGTCGATAATAGAAACATAATTTAAAAAACAAACCAGGAACTAACGTTCTCAAGACTAATAGAAGCCAAACAAACTGATCAGCTAAGCCTGGATAAAGGGCCTGAAGACAGTGAAGGAACCGTCATGGGAAATAGGGAATCTAGTAATATTGACTAAACCCAAAATTCCGACAGCAATAGTGATCTGCAAAACTACTTGAGATCCAGAAAATACCCGGGAAACTAGAAGCCTGTTATGCTAATTGCAACCACATAAAAACACTAGTACGAATTTTTATGGTGTTTTCCTGCTTATGCAGCATCATGCTAGATGTACACTAAAATCAATAAATAAATTTTCCTTGTCTGTCTGGAAAATTAGCAATCTTTTCATATACTTACGTGATACATCTTCAATAGCAATGTATTGATTTTTTTTTCCCCCATTTACAATTTCCCACCATTTTTTCTGTTTTTCTTTCTCTCCAAGCTCTTTCAGAAACTGCCTCAAATACAAGTGAGGTCAGCCTAACAGGTCTACAATTACCAGAATCATCATTTTTTCCACTGACACATGGACATAACAACATCCATAACAGCGTGGAGAATCTGGGGATAAGCACATTTATTTTAAGACACTGCAATATACTGGACAGACTAAAAGTGAGGCAGGCTGAGGTGTTACTGGTGTTCTGCAGAAAGTGATTGTATTTAATGTTCTCACTAATGATTCTGGCACAGAAATGTAAGCATGTGGAAATGAAATCTTGTAATGACAAAACAAACAAATGGTGAATATTATGAAAACTATCGCAGAAGAAGAACTGAGTGTTTTTGAAGACCAGAGTCCCAGCAATTTCATTAAATAGTATTATTCAAAGTGAAAGGTGGAACAAGAATGTCACTTGAGAATTATACTTAAGGAAGGTGTAATTCCAATTTCTACTATAAACTGGGGCCTCAGAAGAAAAGCAATATAGGAAGTCCAGGCTGTATAGCCAATTACATACGAAAGCTAGCCTTGACTTAAAGAAAAGGTAAACATTTACTTGGGCTGTACGGGAATAGAGCTTTCCACAGGCCAATGCAGTATTAATGATAATGTACAAGGACCTAGTGAGATTCTCCCCAGATTTTCATGTTTAGAGAAGACTAACTGACCCCAGGATAGGTAACTAGAATAAGCAGGGATGTGTCTAATGTGGTCATAACGACGTTTACACATTATTAAAAGCCAAAACCACAGCCACCTTCAAAAGAAGAATTGTGCTTGTCCAATTTGGCATCCTGAGATGAGTTATTAGGAAAAAAAAAAAAAAAAGAAAAAGAAAAGAGTATCCTCTTTTTGCTCATTGATTTTCTATCAAGGTTTTCTCCATCATCTGTTCTCACTTGTACAACTTGGTGAAGATCTGGCATAGTATTCTCATTAATGAGAAGCATGCCCGTTTTCAAGGTTTCACCCGGTGTCACCCAAACAGATTTTTTTAGAAAGATTTCCCTCTTTTTCCAAGAACGGGTCAGGAGAGGGATATAAATGAAGCAGGAGATTAATCACATATTACAAGGCAGTATAGGAACTTTTTTCTCGTTCAGAAATGAAAGCAGATGCGAATAAAAACAGAAAACCTTCCTGGGTCTGACCAAATGTCCATTTAAGCTGTTTAAGTCATTAGATACATTGACAAGTGTATAACAAAGTGTTGTTTCCTCTGTTTATTCTTTCAGTCTCCAACTATTTGAGGCCTAGAATTTCCTGAACCAGACATAGCTTCTATGAATTCAGCAGCCCTCAAGGCAGTTTGCTTTTATAAACTTGTCCTTTACCCCCTTGAACTCATGCAAAATCATGTTAACAGCATCCTGTAGCAAGGATTTCCACAGCTTTACTTTGTCCTTTGTTTATGAATACTTCCTTTTTTGCTTTGCATCTGCCATACAAAAGATCCTATCAATATTCTCTAGTTTCTGCATCTCGAGAGACAACAAAAAACTGACTGCTGTTCGTCTATCTGTTATGCGGTTTTACCGCTTTCTGTAATACTTCCATTTCCATGAATTGTCCCTTTCCCAGACAGTAAAGTCCCAGCCAACTTACTGCTTCCTAGTATTTCCATATGTTGTCCAAAAATTGGTTCATTTTTTTGTCCTTCTCTCAAGCTTTTCTAGTTCTGATAAACTTTTTGAGATGAGCAGATTGTAAATGATACTGAACACTGAGCGGGTATTTCCAAGAATTATCTATTTCAGTCTCATAACATCTCTCCTCCATTTTAATGGTTACCTTAGAACAGGTAGTTTTTTCTCCCTTGCATCGTTTAATATTTAACTGCATGAAATTCCATCTGCCACGTTTCCGTACAGTCACACAGACTTGTACATTACTTCTGTCCTTCTTCATAATCTGCCCTTATCTCTAACACTCTGATTAACTTAGTATCATTAGCAAACTCTGCCACAACACTTCTATCCCTCTTTCCAGGTCATCTGATTGTCTCTAAAACTGAACAACCCCATTACATTATCATAGTCTTATCTTTGCTAGATTCTCCTTTTATAATAGCCTTAGTAATCTATTGATCTGACAAGCTGTCTGGCATGCTTATGGATATGTAAGTTGATTACGTTGCTCCCTACACCACATTCCAGTGCAGCTGCATGTGTGAAACTAAGAAATCAAAAAATATCATGACAAAAAATATGTAAAATACAACACCTTAAATGCACAGTCTAAAACTAATATTTTTGAAGCAACTGGAAATCGCTTGAGATTCTAAACCTGAATTGACTTGATACATTATATACTTAATGTCTCTTTAAATATTTCTATGATACTCAAGTAATTCATGTGATGTTTTGTAAATGAAAAATACAAACTAAGAATGGTGTTATACTCACAATTTGTGAAGATTGTTAAGTCCAACAAACATTTCTGGTGTTAGACAACCAATCCTATTATTCGAAAGATCTCTAAAACAAACAAACAAGAAAATCCATTAATTCAATCTTATTTGTATACACGGTCAAATAACCATATACAGTCTCTCTAATTCTAACTGTTAAAGAGTTAGAAACAAAGGAAAAAAAAATCATTTTTGGTAGCATAACATATCCAAATTAAATGGATTTCACAACTTTGTATTAACTCTATTGAGCAATATTCTGCAATCGAATATACTAGACTGGATTTCACACTAATTGCATTAAAATGTGATTATATATGTGCAGAGGTATAAAATAAAGTAGAAATGGTCTTCAATACAAAGAACTGTCTTTACTGAGTTGCTAGCAGCTGTACGATGTTACACTGTTCACATTCCCTAATTTTTTCCACTGATACATGACAGCACCAAACCATGAAAAATAATACATAATTTGTAATTTGTTGCATGCAATATCCAGCAAAGACGGATTTTCCCTGTTTATTACTGCCTCATTGCATAGGCAGCATTCTTTCCTGATGAAGAAATTAGAGAAACAAGGGGGCAATTAATTTTTTAGTCAGTAGGAAAGGTCAGTCTTGGGAAACACTTGGCAAGCTTCTCTAAGAGCAATGCTGTGGCTACCTCAGACCACAGTTAGCATGAGGCATTAAGTTCCATAACTTGTCTGCAGAAAGGTGAATGGATGTTTACAGTGCAGTAATTCATATATACAACATAATGTTTAGGGTCTTTTAGAAAGGAAACAGATATAGGTATGAAGAATTATGTTGTGGTACTTCCACTTCTACTGCCAAATGGGGTATTCTGAACTAATGTTTCAAATGTTTGGTTTTCAACTTTGACTCCACTTTCTTTCTTACCAAGAATGGTTTTTATATAATTGCAACAATGTAAAGATTTTAAGTGATTGTATAAACATAAAAGTGTTGGTTTTCAAATATATATTTTCAATGTTTTAGTAAGTACAACGTTATATTTCATATTACCATTTTTTTCTATTGTTACACAACAACATAGAAGTAATCAATATAGGAAAATAATAGTAGTATTTTGAGAAATCCAGTTATTGCTTTTATGGAGACATATCAAATTAACTAGAAAATGAAGTCAGTATCTTTAGAATCCACTACAAAGACTTTTTTTTTTTTTTTTAATCAGACAAGGGATATGTTGTTGCACAATTGAACAATGAAATACAACATGAGAAGTATTTCCTAAACGCCTCAGGAATATCAAGTAGACAATGGCAGAGGAAAAAAGCTGGATAACAATATTGTGCAATAACTGCATATTAACAATTAATCTTTATGTTTTTCTAATGAAGCCACATCATTCTATAAAAACTAAAAATGTTAATTTAATACAAACATAATTCATCTGCCTGCCTCACAAAAGAGGAGGTAAATTGTAACAGGAATCTAGGATTCTTAACGTGATAATGCCTCACTTCCTAGGATTCTTAATGGGATAATGCATCACTTCCACATTTACTAGACAACTCATCACTGTGTGGAGTATACTTTGAGTAGCAAAAGTAAACTTCATTTAAACTCACCAAAGTCAGGACATAGTTTTTCAAATGTGACACATGGTAAAGCTGCATTTTTTTTTTTAACAAAGCAAAAGGCTATATGATCTTTTCTTAAAATATATTTAAATGAGTGTTATTTTCATACGAAGAGGTATGAAAGCAGCTGAAATCTCTGTCTTATAGAAGACGTTTCCTGAAGAAACATCAGTAAGCACAAAAGACAGCTTGCTGAACCTTCCTCCCAACTAAAACATGGTATATAAATATAATTCAATTCCTCATGTACAAAGCTCGTGATTCTTATCAGAAGTAAAATGTTTATCTTCCTATGGTGAATTTGGAAAATTAATGTTATGAAGTATGAAGTACTCCTCTGTTGAATAAACTACAGCTTTAACATTAATGCTTCATAAATTTTTATGTTTCATCAGGTTCGTGCGTACACTTTTGAGTAAACCCTTGAAATAATTCAGTTTGCCCCTTCAATACAAATGATCAAAATCAGTTCTCCATCCCATTCGTATGTTGATGCTGACAGTCTGCAGTTTAGCCACCCGACTCACCATATCCACATCTCTGCAGTTGCCCACACCATGTTAACTTTGATTTTTCACAGTATTATTCGCACATGATGATAAAAAAAGAGGAAGCAAATGTAAAATATGTTTTAAGTATTCCTGTACTCTGTGTTCAGCGTGAGTTTACACTAGTTGCTGTTCAGCCGTCTGCTACCCCAGAAGCCTGAGGGAGGGTAGAGATTGTCTTGTTTGCTATGAGACTACAGCGCTTTATGACAAACATGTGACAATCTAATAATTAATCTATCCATCGTCTCCAGATTGCTTCCAGCAATACGTGTTGGTAATAGCAATGTGGTTTTCTGAAGCCTAGCACAATAAATCTCAGCATTCCTACTTCGCTAGCCCTTGCTTCCCACTTTTTGCCCGTGACTTGTGACTTTGTCTGCTCTGGCTCATCCACGGCAGCCCGGTTTTCCCAGCAGAGGTCAGGGTTGTGTTATTAGAGCGTGCGGACACCGCGCTGCCTCGGCATCTCTCTAACGGGGACAGCAAGCGGGGAGCTTTCCGTCTTACCTTTATATCTGCATTAAAAACGTGTTTGCTACTCCAACCTTGTCATTACCATCTCATAGCTACCCAAATGCACTTGAAAGCATTTGGATGGTATTAGAAAGCACTGCTACCTATAAGATGGGATGGGGAAGCCCGTGCAGTATGATGCCTACTGGCCACTCTGGCCAGTGGCCACCTCCAAAGAGCACCATGCAAGCACCACGGGCAAACAGTAAACTGCCTACATCTTGTTCCTTTAGAAAATTATTCTTTAAAGAAAACAGACTAATTGTTAGTAAATCTATTAGTGAATTTAATACAGAACAGTAGATCAGTTTTTCAACATGTTATTTTTCTTCCTGAGAAATTATGCTTTATTTACAGATAAAGCCTATGACAAAAGGAGACCTAACATAGCTAAAAAAGCTTAGTATGCTTAGTATACTATAACATAAAATAGTGTTTTCCATGTAGGAAACCATAAGGTTGTATTCTGCTTAATTTCTGAAGGAATACATTGTCTCCTAGGTTATTAATTATAGATATATTAAAGTCTTCTAGATGTTCTTTATAGGGCATTTAGAGACAAACAGATAATTTTAAACATAGTAGCAATATCCCCCCAAAATGAAATAAAACAAAAGCAAAGGTCCAGTAAATTCAGAAAGTACAGTGCACGTTTCTCTATAGTCTGTGTCCTTATGTTATTATTGCTTGGTGGCATACTTGAGCTCCCAAAGGATAGAAATGTTGATACAAACCCAATTTTCAGGATAATTCAAATAGAATTAATACTTACAAGCGCTTCAGTTCTGAAAGTCCATGAAAGGCCCCTGGCTCAATTGTGCTAATTAAGTTATTCTTCAGATCTCTAGAGAGACATAATAGGAGGAGCAATTAATTATCACTTTTACATACTGTATTACTGTTATACATGAAAAGTGTGAAATGCAATGCAATTTTAACCTTTGTCTTAAGTAAAAGCAATGGATTTATTTTAAATAGTAACATCAGAAACACTACATCATTTGCAGTTTATGAAAACATATTTTTCTAAGAGGGTTAAGGTTAGATGTTAAAAAACAGTCTGCTTGTTTTAATTCTTTTCCTATTTGTAATTTTCAAAATGAGCTTCACAGCCATTTTTGCCTCAGGAAAAAATGTTCTAATCAATGAGTGAATAAAATAATTAGGTCAGCAAAGCAAGAGCCTGATACTTTGCTTATTCATTGTGCTGTGCACTTTACACTTAATAAACTTCACATTCCCAACTAATGTATGCAAAGCAGCTGGCATGGGAGGCATAAACAGGTCAGTTTTGTGTCCTGGCATGTACACAGTTTCTCGTATTTGGCAGAGAGGTGTTTCATTTTGCACTTGGTGGCAATCCAGGGGATCAGTTGTTGCACAGATAAAGAATATTTCACTAGCATTAATAAACTCATCTGCTCTTGGCGCAGTGCTCAGGGCCACGACACTTCTCTCAGTTCGGTCCCCACAGAGATTTACTATTGAATTGTCTGAAGGCTCTTCATGATGTGAACACTGAGGAAATGCCTTTAGATGAGCAGTCTAGGAGAGAACTGCCATAAATTCTCCGAGAGTCAGGGTTCGTCATTTGACGATTTGCAATTCATAGGGAATGACTGGTGCTCAATAACATCACTGTTGTTTTTTCAGACTGGCCAGCTCCAGTATATTACAGCTCATGCGCGTCTTGATTCAACCAAAGTACAGACACATCAACAGCATGAGTCACCTTATTTATGACTTTCTATTTTACTGCAAATAAAATGTGCATGAGGTGAAATCTTGGTCCTACTGAAACGTGACTGCCCTCAGTAGGGCAAGGTTTAATCCAGAATGTTTAGTTCACTGTAAGATATATACGAATTTCAAAGTCAAATTGATTCCAAATCATACATAAAGATCCTTGGATTTTGCTGGTCACTTGTGCTGATCTGTTCCAAAAATTTGTTATGTCAAAAGCACTTTGTCTCAGTGATGTCTTTGATGAGTGCTCTGCCTAGCAAAGTTCTCAGCCTCTTAGAAGGTCAAATTCAGCTTTCAGCTTGCATCACACAACACTAAAAATCCTTGAGAAGGTGATAAGACATTTTGACTTCTATGTACAAGAAGTTTCATCTTACATATAAAAAATGCAAAGCGACCAATATACAGCAGAATGAGACTATAATTTTGATGTTAAGAAAAAAAGAAAAAAACCTTAAAGCCCTTATCATCTCAGCTTGAAAAGTCAACCTAGACAGTCAGTCACTTAAGTTGTAAAAAATTCCATGTAAACTAGGTTCCATATGTGTTAAACCTTGACCTGGGAAGACTTTTATGCTGTGTACTCTGCAAGGCATGATACACAGCAAAGAACTGAACACTTCCATACTTACACCATCATTCATAAACACACTGCTTAAGGTTGATTATAATTTTTTGCATAAATTATTTTTTAATATGCACAAAGCAAGGAAGTGGAAAGGCTGAAATATCTGTAGAAAAAGGTAACATGAAAATTTATTAACAGAGTTACAGCTAGAATTTTGAAAAGGAACATTAGCTGACATTGCCTATTATTAACCCAGGAAAGCTACTTAACTCAAAATGATTTTTGAGTAAACGGGTATCTTAGTGAACTGCATTTTTAAGTATTTTGTATTTTGTTTTCATGCCTGTGTTCACAATGATGATCACATATCACATCACCTGACCAATGATTTTAGATTAGCCTTTATTCTTTGTTTTAGCTTGATGTCTACATGCTACTTTGATCATGAATATGTTTCAACTGATCTTTTAACACTATTGGATAAAGAAAAAAAAAAAAGTGAGAACTATGTATTTAAAACTGCAATCAATCAAAAGGCTATACTTAGAGTCTTTCCAGAATATAAGTACTGCAAAGCCAAAGAGGCTTTAATATTAAAATTCACCATGGTCTGAGAAAGCCATCAGGGAGAGCAAAAAGCAGGATAAGGGAAAGAAGAGAAAAAGAAAAGTACCAGCAAGGGGCAGAGCTTGGGGAAGGACCTGGCTGGCGATTCAGGTATTAAGGAGGAAGTTGCACAGTCTATAAGTAATTTTAAGCAAAGGCTCGTGTTCTTCTTCATACACAAACCACGCAAGCATAGTTACAACAGCAGTTGAAATAGAGCTGTGGAAGTTTGTGCTCCAGTAGGTTCTTGAGGACCATCTGGCCAAGGCATGTGAGAAGACCCAGCGGGCAACAGGAAGGAATTATGGGCCCCAATTGTCATCCTGCTGCTACTCTGTCCTTTCCCAGTTACCTAGCCCAGTCACAGCAGTTTTCTTCCCTTCTGTGCGACATACTGGTTTTGGCCAACAGTCCCAGGAGTTTATAGAATCACAGCTGATGACATTTGTTATTAACAAATGTAAAAACTGTAAGATTTTTTTTTTTTGGTATTGGCAGCAGTACTATATATATATATGTATGTCTCCAAGCAACACAACAGACAATATCTTCATAAATGAAATGTACATCATTTTACTTGCAGAAAACATTAAATATATAATGACTCAGGTTGGAGGAACCTGCAGAAATGAGCCAGCATGTAAAAGGAGGAAAGGAGACTCTTTGTTGGCATAGACTTCCACGTTTTTTTTAAGCATTAGTCCACCCATGCAGCCTCTGAGATCTATCCTGATTTCATGCTTTACGCTAGAAAACACTTTGAGGTTTAGACAGTGCAAATAGCCACATTTAGGCAGGGAAAACTGACAATAATCTGTCGAGCAATTAGACATATTTTGTGTTAACTGCCAACCCACCTAAGTGCACTTGAAGGTTGCAATTAAATCATCACTTACGGCCAACAGTGTTAACAGCTCACAACAAATATATATGTGTGTATATATATATATATATATATACGTATATATATAAAATAAGCATAAGTGGGAAATCGTTGGCAGGTGAATTTTAACACCAGGCCACATAAGGCAAAAGGTCTTGGTCCTCTGTGTCCTAGTTTATGGAAACTCTGCTCTGTTTCCTCATAACCCATAACGGCATAGGAAAAAACAGTATAATCCAAAACTATCGTCTAGACAAATAAAAAAGCCCAGGATAATGCTAGTGGAAGCCAAGCCATTTCAGGGAAAAGTGTCCATCAATTAAACTGTCCCAAACAAGCTAAATCATCTGGTCTTAAATTCCATTTAAATTTGGTAGGTCATTTTAGTAAGGATAGTCTCAGAAAATTGTAGATGATTACACTACTCACAATCCTGGCACTTTCTTGATAAGAAGTATTACTCCAAAATGATTTCCTATACTTCCAGTTTAACACAGTAGATATTTTCTTCCCTGCCCCTTCCTGAAGACTAAAATGTAATGAAAATAAGTAAAATGAGCACAAGTGTTAATTACTTACATTTCTTGTTTTTATACTAGAAGAATATATTTTCTTGCCTCCTACCTCTTTTGTTAAAATAAAAAATACAACTTTCACTGAGCTAAATAAAGAAACCAGGGTATATTTGGTTGTATGTTTACATTTTTCCCCAAGAGCTACTGCTGAGATTTGGAAAAAGTCATGATCCAAGGCATGATCCAAGCTGGGCCACGCACATGCACGCGCACACACACATGCCCCCCACAAGTGATTTTATCACCATCCCAAAAAGGAAAAAGTCAGACGAAGAACCCCAGTATCACAATATTGAATGACCATAGCATGACCCAGCTAAAGTTTTTTTTTAAAACAAAAAAAAAGAAAAGAAAAGAAAAAAAAAGAAAAAAAGCGCTTTATAACTAGCATGTATGGCTTTGCATTATTTCTGACAGAGCATTTTAACTTTAAAATAACTATTCTGAATCTGAATGATGTGTCATTAGTGGTGTGGGTGTATATATATAGTGGCATGACCTGAAAATAAATCAAAACCAAACTTCTGTTGCAATTACAGATAGATGGAAGTTACGTGAAGTTACCTAAAGCCGAAACAACTGCAGCATTTATATCAAGGCTGCACAGCTGGCACGAAAAATTACTACAATGTTTGTTGAAATGCTATATTTCCTCTGATTTTATTAAAATTTCTAGATGTACTTACATCGTGGCACTTTGGTCTTAACTAGATATGAATAGATACAGAACAATATGAAGCAGATTTATCATTAAAAAGTAATCTGAAATGTTAGCATAAGTTATTAGAGGAGAGTTTCCTCTTCACTTACAAGCCTGAACTTGTATAAATTACATATAATAAACATTCTGCATTATCTTCCTACATCCATATACATAATTTGCATGTGCATGCACATAACAGTCCACAAGTAAAAACTTTTAAATTCTTTCCCTGTCTATCACAAGCAGTTTATCACCTTTCACATTAATCCCTTAACTTTTTCCTTACTAATGACAGTACGGAGGAGTTACTTCAACAAAGACAGCTGCCTTAAGAAGGGCGAATCTATGCTTGAAACATGTATTTCCTTAGCTGAGATAGAGATGAAATGCGAGAAAGAGGCTACTAATGGGACTTTATAAGAACATTTAACAGTTACTCCAGGCCACTCAGCTCTTAAATATCTTCCCCAGCCAAACCCCTGATTACCTAAACGTGTTCTTGAGATTCAGGGTTCACGGTATATGTTCATATAGTAGAACTTACTACAGGAAAATTAAAATATGCACATCCAATTAACAAAAGAACCAATTTATCAAAAACAACATGGAGACATTTTAGGCATTTCATATCAAAGTCTATGCCTTCAGTCACTGCAGACTCTTCCCCCTATTTCCACTATACGTACTGCAGATATTCTGAATACATATTCATAACAAGAATGTTCAACTAATTCCAGTACTTCATTCAAATTCCTGACATTGA